CCCGGTTCTCTCCCTGGCCCTGGCATCGATCCCGGTCCCGGTTCTGCTCCTGTTCCCGCACCCGATCCCGGTCCCGGTTCGGCTCCCCTGAGACCGACCCCACTCCCGGTCCTGCTCCCAGTCCAGGTCCCGGTTCCGGCCCCAGGCCTGGGCCCGCTCCCGATGCCCGGTCCTGGTTCTGCTCCCGATCCCGGGCCCGGTCCCAGTTCCGCTCTCTGCCCTGGTTCTGCTGCTGGGCCCCATCACCAGTCTTGGTTCTGGTCCCGGTTCTGGTCCCAGTCCGACCCGTTCCGCTCCCGTGCCCAGTCCCGGTTCTGCTCCTGCTCCCGGTCCCGGTTCTGCCCCCGTTCCCCCCAGTCCCAGGACCCCACCTGCACTAAAACCATTTCAACCGCCACGGACACAAGCAAGAGCTCAGGGAATTGTGGTTTAAGGGTTTTTTTTTCTTTTTTTTTTTTGTTTTTTTTTTTTTTTTTTTTTTTTTTTTTTTTTTTTTTTGGTGGGTTTTTTTTTTTTCTCTTTTAAATCAGCTTTATTTTTCTAACTGTTATTTCAATTTCCCATAGCACCTTGGCAATGTCAAAAACAAATACAAATACATGTATTATCATTTGAACACTTAAAGCATGAACCTACTTTACACAAATTTTGTTTTGGACATTTTTGACAACAGGAATAAACCAGAACAGACAGTCTAAAAGCCAGATAAGTCGCTTTTTTCTCCTTTCCTACCACTTTGAAGAGAGATCGTCAATGCCAAGGGGAAGCTGGATTCATCCGGGAGGAACAAGATGTCTGTAGTAACTCGAGCTCAATATATTATCTGAATATTTTGTATTCTATAAAAATTAGAACAAAACCCATTTATGCACAGTCTGTTTACATTTGAAGTTGCATTTTTTTTTTTTTTTGGAAACTGTATCCATAACTGAAGTTCCATAAAAATAAACATCTGGTTCTTAAATATAAAATTTTAAAGTTGTTACAGGTTAGTTTGCAGATGGATTTTTTTTTTTTTTCTCAGAAATAAGTTGCTTTAACTCCATTTCAAGTCCTCCCAACTGTACATTAAAAACAGACTCAATGAACCTCTTGAAGTGCCTGAGCTAAAGGCACTGAAGAGAAGAGCCAACTAAAATACTACAACAACCCAAAATTATGTACCATCCTAAAGGAAGCTCAGACTATATGGAATATATACACGCAAAGAAGAGCATGATAAATCATTCAGATTAATGGCAACAATCTTACGTTTCAGAAGGAAATATCAAAATTAGAAACAAAAACTCTATTGCATATCTGTAGTAATCAAGGATTTACAAAAAAACTCATCAGAAGCCATTTCCCCCCGAAGTGCATTTCTGTTGCATCATCTGTAATACAATGGTGCATTTTACAAATTTAAAATATCATCTGTACATACCAGATATCTCAGCCCAGGTAAACTCACCTGGGAACAGTAAAAATCGCAGACAGTTTCAAGACAATTAAGCTGATATTGACAAAGTAGTAAGGCCATAGCTATTTAACTACAGTAAAGCATTGATTAAGTCACTTATTTGCTACTGATCTGCCACAGTATTATCTTTCTCTTAATAGTGGGTTACTTTTTTTTTTTTTTTCCTACAGCTAAAACTGCACCATCATACTGTGCCAGGCTAATCAAAGAAAAACAAAAAAAACCAACAAAACAACAAGAGCAGGAATGTAAGATACTAAAAAACTAACTTAATGTTAGAAATCAAAAGAAATAAAACTTTTTGCACTTTTAATTTTACTATCACATGCAAAGAATTTCTTCTTTTCACTCCCCAGCAGAAGCACGAGAGAGCGCCCCGATCTTTTCCACACGCAGTAATTTGGAAAAGAACTGAAGTGGGAAGTGTATTTCTGTCCCTAACAGAAGTCAACAACTCCGAAAACAAGTCACAGTTCCTAAAACTGAAAGTTAGGTGTGATTTGCACCTCCTGGTATTTAATATCAGCAGAGCAGGACAATTTCTATCCCGTGGGGCTGCACCAGAGGGAACCACGGAGAGCTCTGGTCTCTTGGAGCCCGGTGACAGGGAGCAGCTCCCGTGAATCCAGGAGCTGTGGGTCTGCCTCCAAACCTCCTCTCTGTCCCAGTCTTCCCAGTTTCCCCAACAGGTAAAACTGCTGGGGACACACAAGATCCCTCCCCAGCCCAGCAGGAGAGGAAAAGGCAAAGCCAGTCCCTGCCAGGTCCCAGTGCTGAGGAGAACTCCCACCCCACTGCAGTTTCACAGCCTCTGTATCCAACTGGGAATTTCCCCCTGCACAGAAAAGAATAGGAAAAAAAAAAAAAACCAAACCCCAAACCACAGCTGGAAATGGTGGCAGGGAAACGCTCACGTGAAATCTTTGCACGCAGGTGTGAAATCAATCATTCCAAGCGCCCTAAGCTGAGAGAAGTTTGGATATGCTGGGAAAAGCCAACAGCTACAGCCTGACCTACATCCCCTGCACAAGAGCCACGACCTGCTGCTGCTGGAAACACCCCAGGACTCGTGGAGCACCCCTTTCCCACCACCCCACGAGGAAGACGGAGCCACGGTCGGTTGGGTTTCCCACATGAAGACGGAGCCAGGGTGGGTTGGGTTTTCCCACATCTGATCAATGACAAAGATCCATTTCACCACTCGGGTCCTCTCAGCACAAGCACGTCACTGACACCGGGTCAGGGAATTCTGAGCCACATCTGCACCAGCCCCTTCCCTCTCAATTCCTCCTCCAAACAGCCCAACGCTCCCACAACGTCCCCTAAACACCCATGAACCACCCTCCAGGCTTGTTTTGTTCCAGTTTGGCTGCAGGAATTCTTTAGAGCCTTTAAAACTAATTCAACTTCGCGTTCATTGCATTTCAGGACTTTGACACTAAATATTTAAACTTCCCTATAGCTCCAAGGAGAGTAGCATTATCAAAATAAAGGGAGAAGGGTCTGTAAGAATCCCTGACTGTGGATGTGATCAACGATTTTTTTTCACTAAATTAAAAAAAAAAAAACCCTCCCAAACCCAGTACAGGTAGTTTCAAAGTGAATACTGATTTGGGGGCTTATATATACATATATATATATATCTAAATATTTAAATATATATATGTATACATACTTTAGGACCCGAGGAAATGGCAGGAAGCTGAGTTGGGGAAGGCTGAGGTGGGAGATCACAAAAAGGCCCTTCCCCAGAGGGGGTGGGACACTGAAGAGGCTCCCCAGGGAAGGGGTCACAGCTCCAAGCCTGTCTGATCTCAAGAAGCATTTAGACAACGCTCTCAGGCACAGGGTGGGATTTTGGGGGTGTCTGTGCAGGGCCAGGAGTTGGACTCCATGATCCTGATGGGTCCCTTCCAACTCAGCCCATTCGATGATTCTCTGACTCTCTCTTTGTAACATGCCTAGAAATGAACAGTTAACTGCATAAATACATTATATTGTGTTATGAATCAACTCAAAGCACTTGCCAAGCTGAATAATAAGTTAGAGAAATGACAACTCTGGCTTTATATATATATTTATAAAAATAGATATGAGTGTTCTCCAAGCAGTCGATAGAGAATTCCTACTGAGGCCCAAGTTGCCAAGGGTTATCTGGCTAAGAAATCAGAAGATGAAAAATTTCACAGTTATTTTAACTGCCACTTACATTCATTCTATGGCAACACGAGCATATATTACTAAGATGGTTACGGAATATATCACAATTGAGTTTTCCAGTGTTCACAACTTACAACTTTAAATTTGTACACTTGCTATTCACTAAAAAAAAAAAAAAATAAAAGAGGAAAAAATAAAGATGTGATTCTTACTGCTGGAAGCTACTTTTCCCTAACACTTTATACAGAACTTTGAACCCTGGTATGCTGATTTTGGCAGATTAATGCGCTCAGTGTTCCTATTTCAGTCATTAATCACCCTGAAACTTAACCACTTACTGCACAATAGTGTTGCAAATTCACTCAGCATACAGCTGGCAATGAGCCACTGCTCCAGAGGGGATTTCCTTAACTCTGCATCTTTAGTTCCACTTTAAACAGTTAAAAACGAGTCAGTTGCTATGACAACAGCTGTAAACAACGAGTTCCCAGGAGTCTAAACCCTGATTTCTGGCAATACAGCAGCCAACAGCCTTTTCCAGAGTCAGCACAGAGAAAACCCAGCCACAGCTCTGGTTTGCTGCCCAGTCATCCAGAGATGCCAGTGAGTGCCCAGAGTTCCCACCTGCAAGGCAGAATTCAGCATCTGCAGCAGGAATTCCAGGCTCCTTACCTGTGCAGGTAACACCAGGTGCTGTGTAGCCACCTGCCCATCCTACCCTGGGGCTGCCTCAGGAAAACACACCAAGAAAAATGCACTAAAGTCTGTAATAAAGAAATTAGAGAAAGTAACAAAAGAGGGAAAAAGCAAACAAACAAAACCCCAAACCTAAGGAGTTGCCCTCAAAAGGAGGCGAGGAAAAAGGGCATTATAAAGATTCTCACATGCTCCCTTTGCCTCCTTCCACTGCATCTACCAGACAATTTCTGCTGTCCACGCACTCTCATCTACAATCCAGTATCCTGCAAAACTTATACCTTAAAAAGCTTGCTGAATGAAATATTAGTAAGGTCAAGAGACTCTACTTCAAGCTGGAAACACATGGGTTACACTACAGTAGTACATTCAGTTTTCATCATCAGTGACTAAGTGATGACAACAGTTCTGGCTGCACTCTGCTCTGCTCATGCTGCTGCAGAGGCCATCCATGGCAGACACACCAGCCCACAAGTCAAACGTTAAATAGGTTACAAAAAGTTCTAATTTTACAGAAATGCTCATTTTCCAAAAATAATATTCTCTTGTCCTTTTCCTCCTACACCGAGGGACAGGTTAATTTGTCAATTCATATTCTTTCACTTCGTCAAAATGCTACTTTCACAATCCCAAAGCTGATTTCAAGCAGGAAACCCTCTGCAAATTAAAAACAAAAATACAAAAATTATAATCTCTATATTTATAGTGATTGGAATCCTCCAGCATTTGTGAAATCACTTTTAGAGATGAATTTTGGGACCCTCCTCAACTTCTCCAAACAAGCCACGCTCCAGTTCAGTATTCCCCTTCCCGAATCCTTCCCTCCTCAGTCTCTCTGCTGCTCTTTAGTCCACAGCTCAAGTGAAACACAGAATCATTGGCTGGCCCAGCGTTACTTTGGTGACCGGGGTGGCACGTACTGCTCCTTGCCCACGCGGCGCGGCGCTCCCTGAGGCGAAGATCTGCGTCCAAACTGGCGCCTCTGTTCCCTGATTTTCCCAGCAGCTCCCCTGGGAGCCCCGCTGCCGCGGAACCCGGAGTAATCCTTCATTCGGCCTTCGTGAGGAGCCCTCTCGTGAGGAGCCCTCTCGTGAGGAGCCTTCTCCGGAGCTTTCTCCAGCGTACCGTTTTCTTCATTTTTGGCAGGGGGAACGATGTTGGCGCGGTGCTCCCTCAGAGGCTGGACAGGGACTGGAGGCGGCTCCTTTGGGGGTTTCTGGCAAACTTCGGCGTAGCTGAGCTTGCGAGGCTCCTTTGGGAGCAAGGAGAAGAGGGAGGTTTATGCACCACGAGCACCTCCCAGCCCACCCCAGGCACCAAGCCACGGCACAACAGCAGCGACACGCGCAGCGAGCGGAGGGGAGCCCAGGTGCACCGTCAGCACATCCTGGAGCAACATCAGGTGCACATCCTGCAGCAAGCTGCCTGTGTCATTCCCATTCTGGCCTTACCTGTGTCGACAGAGCAGGAGCTGCACTTGCTTGAGCAGAAGGTGAGGAGGTGTTTGTCCTCGGTGGCTTTGCAGCGCTGATGGGACAGACGGATGCCGGCGGAGAAGCCGGGCTGGCCACGTCCTTTGGAGCAGACACTTCTTCTGGTTTGCTCTCTGGCTGAACCGTGCTGATAAACCAACAACAATTCAAATTAAAACCTACCAACACTCAGGTTTCAGAGATTATTTCCTTTCTTTGAAGTCACAATTGCAGAACAGAACAGCACAGTCATCCCCACCATTATCTGCTCTTTCCATCTGGTGGCCTCTGGAGAAGATCAGGCACTACCCAGGCTCCCCCAGGGAATGGGCACAGCCCCGAGGCTGCCCGAGCTCCAGGGGCATTTGGACAACACTCCCAGGGATGCTCAGGGTGGGATTGTTGAGGTGTCTGTGCAGGGCCAGGGGTTGGACTGGATGATCCCTATGGATCCCTTCCAATTCAGGACACCCCATTATTCCATGCTGTGTCCATGTTCTCTGCGTACCTCAGCACCACAGGCTCAGTCTGGCTCGGGGAGCTCACGCTGGGCACGGGCGGTTGGGCAGCGCTGGGGGTTTGTTCATCCGGAGCAGGAGCAGGGCAGGGGCACAGGGAGTCTTTGCTTTCCTGCACATAGAGCAGAAATTGCAAAATACAGAACAATACTCAAATTGCTCTACAACATGGTACTGCAAGACATCTGAGAAGTGGGGTAGTCCCAAAGGGTGCTCAAGTCCTGATGATAGCAATTTTACTTCTTTTGGACCATCACCTCCTTATATGGGCAAAAGAAGCAGTGGGTAAAACCAGAACTAAGGCTGGATCATCCAGAATGTCAGTGCTTAGTCCCACCAGCTCAAAGAAGGAATTCATCTGGAAAGATCCCTTGCCCACACTTCCACCAAACTGTTCCTACTGCAACAGCCAACATTCCTCCTTTGCCTGCTTTATTCCTAAAATGAGTTTACAACAGCGTAACTGCATGAGCCCTAGCTGCATTCCCACAAAAAAACTGGGAAAATGCACTATGAAGTCTGGGATTAAACCACTGGAATAGGTGGTTTTAACAAACCAACCCTTTAACAGGGAAAAGGGTGTCACAGCAGCCAGATATGCTCATGTGTGTACAGAGACAAGACCAGGCACCTTCTCTTTGCAGACTCCTTTAACGATGTCGGACATCCTGCTCTCCAGCACAGGCTCTCCCAGAATTTTTGCTGTGCTGCCAGGCAAAGGTGGGAAATTTGATGCAAGCAAGTCAAACTTTGGTGTCTGAGTCTTTGTTTCTGCTGAAGGCTGAGGTCTCTGGAAAGGGAAAACACAAGTTACTAGAGTCATAACACCGAGCAGTGAAAGCCCTGAGCAAGTTGTCAGGGAACTTCCTAGAAAAACTGTAAACCCCAACATAATCTGAGGATTTAAGCACTCTGCCATTCCTTCAATAACTGGGAAGCCAACACTCTGCACTTTGTGTGACTCCGTGCAAAAAGGGAAGCAGAACTTACCGAAACCCGGTCGTCCTCCCGTCTCCTCCGACCCCTGAACACGTTCCTCCTTTAAAGACAAGAACAGCACTCAGTGCATCCAGCCAGCTGCAGTGGGCACTGCTCTGCATGAGGGCATCCACAGCTGCCTGCTGAGCCTTCCCCACACATGGCTCTGGGATGTTCTCCCTCCCCAGGAGGGGCCAAAGTTCCAGCTTCGGAAGAAGTTGGAAAAGAGTCACTGCAGGAACAGCTTCTCTTTCTCAGCTCCCTGCATGAGCATCTGACCAAGCATAGGGATAATTATTTTATAGTCATAAACTTATTAGTCTGATTTCTCACTGATCTGCCCTTGCAAGTCTAAACCCTGAGCCAAAAGAGATAAAAACAATTAATCTTAAAATACTGAGGAGCACCAAATTCCCAACCAAGGGTTTACTTATTATTTACAACAATACAGATGCCAACTCTACTTCAGCATCTGTTTTAATTCTGGGAACAAATCAGTTACTTTAAAATAAAGTTATTTACAACAATACAGATGCCAACTCTACTTCAGCATCTGTTTTAATTCTGATTTAACAAATCAGTTACTTTAAAATAAAGACACCTCACTGTCTTACTGTCAGCTGTTCATCAGAGTAACTACCAGCTGCAGAGTCAAGCTGGAACCACTCCTGCTCCCAGGTCAGCATTTACTGCTCCTGATTTACTTAAGTGTCAGTTTTCTCATGGCTGCTCCTTACAGAAATGCATTTTGTGCTGATGGTTGATACCTTTGGCTCACACAAGCCAAGCCCCAGCTGCTGTGTGACAGCAAACACAGGGCAGAGCCCTTTACCTGCCCCTGCCGACGCCGTAATCGCCGTTCTGCTCCAGCTGCGCCGCGGGAGAATCCTTCTGGGAATACCCTTGGTCTTGGTGCCCGCTCAACGAGCCGCTGTGTCGCTCCATGACAAAATTCCTTGAGCTGGTTCTGCTCAGGTCCCCCATGGGCAGGGCCCCGGCGCCGGGCGGCCCCTCGGGGTGCTCCGAGCTGCCGGACGAGCGGAAATGGGGCTTCACCCTGCGGGCACAGAGCACGAGCTGTGGGACCCCCGAGCTGAGGAAGCACAGCACAGCCACCACCAACTGCAGCTGACTCACAGCTGACAGGAAAAGCAGGTCAGCAAGCACCAGAATTCCTGTTTGAGGTCGCTGCCCAAAAGATATCCGGGAGGGGAAAAAAACATCCCAAAACCTCAAACAACTAAAAAAAAAATCCCAAAACCCAGGGGTCACAAAAGAGCCAGAAGAACCCAAAGAGGAATATTTCCTTTGGGCCTGCAGCACTGGCACAGGGCATTGGAAACGGAGCTGGAGAAATAAGCCAAGGCCAAGGAACAGACTGATCTGGCCACAGGAAACAAACTGAACTGAGACACGAGGCCAGGAGTGACTGAACATGGCAGATCAGGCCAGGGCAGCTGAGCTCCACCATGCACAGCTCATTCTCAAACCCCCAGCACTGACTCTGCAGTTCCCAACCCCCAAATGTTCCACCCTGATATTGATTATTCAGCTTTAAAGCTGTGGCTCCTTTGAGCACAGACACAGCTCTGCACTCTCAGTGCTGCTGCAAGTTCAGGCTCAGGGTCTTGAATGTAGAATTCTCCAGAAAAGCTCAGATCCAGCACAACATGGAACATTTTTCTGGAGCAGCATTTAAGTCTTTTCAACTATTCTCTACTTTTGCTCTTCATTGGTTTTCCATATGCAGCACTGATCAAAGACAAGAACCCAAATTCTCTCTCCTTTGGTAAACTCTGCACATCTCATAATTTAAGGGCAGCAGGAGGATGTTGCACACTTGCTGTTTTTAAACAATCTCATTATAACATTCCATGAAATCAGAAGAAACTCTCCTAGTGCCAGCCAAAGTACAATTCCTCCATCTCCCTTTCCCACAAGGATGTTGCAACAAATCAGCGCAAAATAAATACGAGTGGCTTAAACAAATGTTTAGCTACAGAGAAAACTCCAGTAGTTAACTATTAACTGTCTGTACCACAAAACAAATCAGGTTTAATGGGCCAGGACAGAAACCCAAAAGCAGCAGCTGGATGAACTCTTCAAACAAGCTGTTCTGCAGGTCAAGAGCAGATTCGCTGAACAGAGATGAATTCACACTTCCCAACTTCAAGAACCAGTTTTAAGGGCCCAATAAAGTTTTAGTTTCCCATCAGCAACAACCACAGGGAGGAGGTGGAGCAAAGTCAACTGAATTCTTCCATTTTGTCCAAGTTGTTCTTAAAATGGCATATTCTCAAGCCACTGCTCAGCCCTCAGATCTCATAATCTTACCCGTCATCGAGAAGGCCACAGTCTTGTCTGGGCAGAAGAGCAAAGCAGAAAAGACAAGGAAAGATAAAGGAGCGAAAAAAAAAAAGAGCAGAGAGGAGGAGAAATGATGTGAGAGCAGAAGGAAGGAAGAGCAGGAGGAAGGAGAAGCAGGGAGCACAGGCTGCCCAGCCCCCAACTGTGACCTGTTCTCTCTTAGCGCGATACTGGATCATCACTGGGCCAGCAGGACCTGCACACACTGACCCTCCAGCTGCAACCTCAAGCACTCAAGTCTTACAACTGAAGCCTTTACATAACCAGGATATTAAAAGCTTAGGGTTATGCAGATGTGATGTACAAGGAGGGATTTCAAGGCTAGCACTTGGATACACACAGTTGAAGCATCTGTACTTCCATGAGGGTCCACATACCTGAAAGCTTTACAGGTTTTAAGATTGTGCACACCAATTTAAAAAAAAAAAAAAAAAAAAAAAAAAAAGCCAAACCACCTTTGTCAAGATGAGAGCTGGGAGCTGAGCAGCTGCAGCTGGAGCAGCTGCTCCATCTTCCAGGCAGTAACACTCCCAGTTCCACAGTCTGTGCTAAGACTCTGCTGAGTCACCACAGACCAAAGCCTGAAGTTCCCCTTCTGCCAACAGCCACAGACCTGAACTGCACCACAAACCCACTCAGAGCCCTGGCAGCTGTTGACTGATTTCTCTAACAATACCAACAGCAATTCCCATGATCCCAGCCCAGTGCTGCACACAAACAACTCCCACCCCCACACACAGGTTACTACGCCATTGTGTTCACGGAGCAATTGCTCCAGCAATACAAAGTGTTTCCTCCTCCCCGGTGTTTATATCTGAGCTAAGTCCTTACAGCTCTCAGGAAAGATGGGGATAAAGCAAATAAATTACAGGAACAGCCCCAGCATCGAGCAGTTGGACGCAGCAGTCAGGACAAGCAACTCCCACTGCAGGAACCAGCAGCTCCACAAGCCTGATCCCAGCAGGAAAGGCTTATGTTGTGCTGCAGGAGTTTATAATCTGTGTATAACAAACATAATTACAAGTATGACCTGAGGAGGAAGTTATTTATTTGTCTGCAAAAATTCCTCTGAGGCTTTTGAAGGAGTTACCCTGGCTCTCTCCAGCACTGTGTCCATTATTTTAGGATCTTAAGCTGCTGCCTTCTACTTCATGTTTTTAATAAAGTTGAAAAACAACACACATTTGATAAAACAAAATAAATAACGTGGTCCCATCAGAAAGCACTGCATGTGGCATGCAAGGAACACTTGAGGATCTCAGCAGTGTAAGTTTTGCAGGAGTAAACCCCTGGCAGAGCTCTCTTACCGATTCCTGTGGAATGGGCGACCTATACTCAGAGAAGCAGCATTTGTTTTATATGATCCTGGTGTATTAAAGCCATTCACAAACCCACCGTTGGGAAACGGGGCCTGCAACAGACACAACAGTCTCAGTGGCTGAGCTACAAAGAGAATGTTTGCAGATTAATGATCAGCTTCAGCAGTTACTCATGGCTGTAATTTCACACTGGGCTACAGCATCTACTGTGGTGTGAATTCACTACTCCAGCCAAATCCCCACAGGTTCACAGTCTGCATCTGTTTTAGCAGTTCCCCCATTCCTGGAAAAGCTATAGGCTCTTCCAGTAACACAAGCTGCAGGATAATGGAATTTCACACCAAAATTCCTTGAAATACGTGGCAGCCAATGGTGAGACTGGCAGCTCCTCTGACAGCGTTGCTTTATCAGGGCCGTGACAAAAGCGTCACAAAACAGAAGGATCTGACCAAGAAACCTGAACACCCACTCACCCTAGTGATTATTAACCAAATCATCCCCGATGGGCTGGGCTTCTCCTCCCCTTCTCCCCAGCTGTTACTCACCAGTGGTGTCTCAAAGTAAGGTGCAGGATTTGGAGACCACGTCTGAGGCACGATGCTGTAAATCGAGTACTGCTGAGGGCTATATACAGGCTGCATAAACAGGGGGGAGGCAAACTGGGCTTGGGTCTGCACAGGCTGGGGATACACACTGGAATCCACGACCCGGTAACCATTCTTAGCAAAAAACGTGTTGATGGCTTTTATCCTGGCCTGCAAGACAGCAAATCACACCAGGAGTCAGCTGGGAGAAAGGGAGAACGTGGAATCTTTCTTGCCTGCTGGAGGGATTTGAAGGTTCATTACTGTTTATGAATAAAAACTGATAAAATCAGTCCAGCTCATATTCCCACAGCATGATAAGGGGAAGGACACATGTTGCTTTAGCTGGGTGATCTGTAAAACTGAAGATAAAGGCAGGAACTGTCCAGACTCCAATCATGACAGCTCCTCTCACAGTGCATGCACTTTGCTCCAGCCTGCTTTGTGCAGCAGCCAACTCAAGGCTCACAGTGGCAGGAATCCCTCTCCTGAGCTCTGCAAACCCAGATTCTGGGGCAAGTAGAGAAGGGAAGCCAGCACAGGAATGTATTTCACCCCCCTTGGGAAGCAGTGCTGTGAGTAACCAGCAGCCACTGAACTGTAATTTGTCAGAGCTCCCCATGACCTCGTTCATGTTTCAGCCTCCAGAGCCAGAGTTATGGACTATCCCACTGCTGGGTCCTTGGTTCACCCCCCACAAACAGCCACCATCATCCAAACAGAAACCACACAATGCAATCCCAACAGACACAGCAACTAAAGCAGCCTCACCATTACTGGCTTGCCCTGAAAGGTTTTCACTTCTTCCCTTAAGTATTTGAATGCCTGCATAAACGAAAAAAGATCAACATTAGAATATCTTGATAAAGTTGTACTTCCCAAAGGATGTTCCACGATTTAACACAAATGTGCAGTCATGTGCTTCCCTGTCAGCCCAGCTAAATTGATTAACACTTCAAATTCAGGATTCTAGTGCCAGTCATGGCCAGAGAACGCCAAGGCAAGAGCATTATAACCCCACAAAAAAAAGACCCCCTTTGGTCTTATTAGCCAGAATGTGTCAGTAATCTCTTAAAACAACAAAAAGGGGATCAGTAAATAAGTATTTCTTTTAGCTACAGGAAGCACAAGTGCACTTTCCCTGAGCAGGGGAAGGACCAAAGCTGGGTGTCAGAGGAAGGCAGCCTTACCTGTTGCGCGTCTGTGTCGGACTGGAATGTAACGTACCAGTTGTTGTTGTGAGCAAACTCACAGCTTATCACCTTGGGGCAGTTCTCATTCTTGAACAGAGCCTTCACCTCCTGGGGAGAGAAGTTGAGGGCCCTTGTACAGTGAACACTAAAGAGACCCAAGTTTATGCTCCAGCTCCTCAGCTGCTGCTCTCCCGTGACCAGAGATGTTTCTTATTCCCCTGACCAAATTACCCTTACCTGCTTCTTAACCCACAAATCCTACTTCACCCTCCTGGGCTCCCAAGATAAAACAGAGCTGCCACAGCTAGTAAGAAAATCAAGATCTGTGTAGACCTGGTGATATTTTCATATGAAACAGGTAGGAAAAGTGTGGCTTTAGATCAGCAGTCATGGAGACAACAATGATTCCATGAAATATTTCTAAGTCAAGGCAACCTGACAGCTTTGCATTAATCAGATTGCAAAGAGAGGGACAAGCAGCTGCTCAGAGCTTGCATTAAAAGAACTCATTAAAAATGCTGGTAGACAAACACCCATGTATTACAACTTTAAAAAACAAAGAACTAAATCATTCTGTTTGCCAAGTATCAGGAGGAATTTTATTATCCTCCCTCCTCAGGCATAATGAGCTCAGCTCACGCTGGGGCTCAATGAATGAGAAATGTTTAGTAACATTTCTTGCTGCCAAAACAACTGTCTGACTTCAAGTAAAGTTATTGCTGTGACAAAAATTTAGCCTGAATTCCAAACTATGCCCTGGACTGAATTATTTTTGGATCTGAAAAGAAACCAGTTCAAACTTCCTTCCAGAAAAGCCGAGCTAGCTCAGCTTTGGTGCAAAAAAAGTTTACTTAAGAAGGTTTAAATATAGTAGTAAATAATGGGAAGGGATAATGACAATAAGTTTTTGTTTTGGATATTTTGATACTGCACCCAGGCGGAAAAAGTTACTGATGTGGTCTAGAAGAAAAATATCTGTGTTTAATCCAATTAAACACCAGCTGACCTTTTCCTGGTGCTGTCTGAAGCCCTGTTGAAAACACCTTCCAAAACCAGTAAGAGTTACTTATTTCTTTTCTCTTTATTTACCTCTATAGGTGTAGTTTCAGGGATCTCACGGAGAATGATAATACATCGTTTGTGGTTTGGTCTGACTTTCTCCCCCCTTTCATCCACTTGTACCATAGGAGAAGCTGAAAATAAAGTATAAAATTTGGACATCTCAGCAGTAGCAGACTCTCTTGTGGAACTTGGAACAAAGACTGAGAATTCAGGAGTTTGGAACAGCCTCCTACTCAGTGAAGTTCCCATCACCATTTACCAGAACAACAAACCATAACCAGCTCAGAGGCTGCAACATCCCTCTGAAGCATGAAAGGATTCTTTGTGCTACTGATACAGATTCCAAAATCCCAGACTTACATCTCAAAACTTCAAGAATAAGGTCCATGTCTGTTGTCAGCTTCTTAATCCCTTCCATGTTGGCAATTGTCCATATTGGAACAAACTGATCACTGTCCATCTGAGACATCAAGTAGAGATCCTTGGAAAGATTCTCTCTAAAAAGTTAGAAAATCATTATTTAGAAAAGATCCTGAACTTAGAAACCTGAGAAAACTCAAAACAAGAGGATAACTACAGGCTTAAATAATATTCACCAGTACCATTCACAACCAAAACACCCTCAGATTTTCTCTCCTGGAACAAATCCCAGCAAATCAACACAAAGAGTAAGATAATTTTAAAAACTTAATGAAGCTCCAGTGCCCTACACGTTGGTCTGCAAAAAGGATCTGCCAAAAAGACTTCTGGTGCCACACAGTACATGATCTCAATGTCTTATGACTGTGGAGCACAGGAGTCATCCTCATCCAAGGACACAGCTGCACAGACAGGACTGAAACAGCTGGAAGGTGCCACGGGGTTCTACAGCACATCAGCAAATCCTGGTTTGTGTTTTTATCAAGATGATGGTACATATCAAGCCGAGAAGAGGGATATTTGCCAAGGATTTTAATAAAGTGTTTATACCAAGCTACACCTACCGAGAGAAGCAGAATTCAAGCTGTTTTCTCAAACATTCTCTGATGTCTTCTGTGGACACAGTGGAGCTGCCATCACCTGAAAGGGACCATATCCACCATCAGCTCCCACTTTCATGGCAACAAGACCAGGCAAAGACACATCTCATTGCAGAAAACAAGAATCAATCCCTCTGGGTAGGACCAAGAGGAAAAGCTCATCCAAGACGAGACCCCCAGATTACACATTCTCAACATGATTCTGATCCCACTTTGCACCTCTTTGGCCACGTGTTGAGGCCATACTGGAGCTTCTTGGATACACATGGACATGTCAGAACTCTAACTTGGTCACTCCACACTTAGAGCAGCTCCAGGGGGGTTACAGACACTGACAGCAGCATTTGAACTTCCAACACTCACCAGACACTTCATAGATTTGGTACCCCAGATCTTCAGTCGCCAGGACAATTCCGTTTGCTGACGCCTCATCAGCTCCTGCGCCATTCCTTGGGGCTTCACAGGACGGGGAATACATCACTTCATACTGCTTGCAGCTGTCCTCTGAGATCTCTATGTTACCTGGCAAAGGAACACACCACAACAGGAAAACTCCTGTCAGCTTCAGCGTATTTTCCAATTGAAAAACTCTGGCTACTAACATTAAAACAAATACTCAGGAAAGCTGTACCTGAGAGTGTCTAACCTTAGCCTGTATTTCTTACACTTTGTGTTGAATAGAACTTCTACCTCTCCAATTTCAGGAAGATCTGGTTTGCACTAGGCTCGCAGGGAAAAGCAAATAAAAGTAAATAAAGGATCCTGAAATTGATCCCCAAAGTGGCAGAGAATCTAAAAACCAGTCCTCCCACTTGAAATTTAAAATATTTAAGCGAGGTTCCTGAAAACAAGGGATGAAAATTGCTTACACTGCCTCAATTGCTTCACTTTGTTATGAAGAGACAAATGAGTTTCTGTCGGGCAAAGCACAAACCCAGCGCTCTCTCCTCGCTTCTGCTGACTTACCAGAAACCTTTGACAAGGCCATACAAGCTGAATGTTCTCTTCTTTATCCCTAACTTTTACTAAACCATTTTGCAGGGAATCTTCTGCATCCTCTGCCATGCTTTGAGTCACCTTAGCTACACCCCAGATCGAGTCTGAGCCAAACAAGTGAAACCAATTGAATCCTTAGTTCTGGACACTGCCTGTGTGGTAAGGATGGGAATGGGACTGCAGGGGAACAGCCTGAATGGAAAGGAGTTAACCACGGGTACTGCACAGGGTCTGCTCCAGAACAAATGCTCCTGACAGCTCTCAGCAGCACCTCGGTCCCCCAGGATTGCAGGTGGCCCTCAGATCTCGTTTTCCTGTTCACAGGGTCCAGTGGATGCTCAAGTGCAGCAATGTCATGAAGCCATTTCTACACGTTCAGCACCCTGCTCCCCTCTTAGCGCGTTACTTGGTCATCACCGGGCCCCCTGAATCCTGTTCCAGCAGAGCTCAGAGCCCTTCCTGAACCAGAGCCCACCGCTGAGACCCACCACCCTCACACACCACCTGCTGCTTTCTCACCTTCCTTTCATACACACTGCTCCAGCAGCACTGACACCCTCAAGGACAAGAGCCAGAGGCTGCTCCTCACAGCTGAACTCCCCGAGTGTCCCCCAAGTGGGGCCATGTCACAACCCCTGTCCCAAGAGCTCACCCTCAGCTGGAGTCCCCTGGGCTGCTGCTGTCTCCTGCCACGTGTGCTCTGTGCCATTGGTGGGGGGCACGGCCTCACCACTGCCCTGGGGCACTTCTTGCCACACTTTTGCGTTGGGGTTCAAGCCAGCACCTTTTGATGTTACCTGCTGAAGAGAGCAGAACGCTTTGGTTAGTGAGAGCAACCCAGAGCAGCCTCAGAAGTCAAGCCAGAAAATACAGGCGAATTTAGTGATTGTCTCTAGAGTTCCACATCTCAAGTGTCTACCCAGCTATTAAGCACCTATGTGATTTTTTTTATCAATGAAAACAGGAAAATCCTTGGTATTTTCCAAGTATTTCGTTTCTACCTCCATGAGAAGTGTTGCCTTCAACCTCTCTTTATTGACATCCGACAACATCAGCGGAGGCAGCGGTTACTCGGCAAGGACTCTGGGAACTCATAAGCTTTTAAAGACTTGACTGTCATAATGCTCCAGTCCCCTTTCACCAGAAAGGGAAATTTTCCCTCCTCCAGACCCCTTCCTAGAAAGGAAGGTAAAAAAACATATGTCAAGGAGAAGAAACTGTATAACTCAACGGAATTAGTGACATCTGTACTAACCAAGCATCACCTGTGCTGTGTCAGGATTCCTCCTGAACTTACTCAAGTCCTACCCCATTCCCCCAGGAATCTTACACACATCAACAGACACTGATGATTTCCTTAAACTGGTAACCAAGGAGATTAAAGGTTTTGAATTGACAAGACAAACTTACACACCATCCCAGCCTGCTGGGGAGAGAACAGGATCTGCTCACTCTGGCTCTGGGCAACAAGGACCATAATTAGAGTCAAAGGGTTACAAATGAAGCAGACAAGAAGAACTGCAAGACTCCAGCCTGGCACCTGGCACAGAGAAACGCTCATTCCCACAGCACAATACAGAATCCTTCAAGGTCCCTCTCCCAGTGCTGCTCAAAGGTATTTTGGGTGAGGAATCCAACAATCCAGCAGCAGAAGGGAGGGAAAACATGGCTTTTGCTCCTTTCACATAGTGAAATAATAACTGTAGTTAGAGGGTAGTGAATAAAACTACCTTTATGCAAAAATTCTCCCCCCGGGATATCCCAACACCCCACAAGCAGCTGTAACAGTTCCTCCAGCCACTGAACGATGCTCCACTTCACTGCTGCAATTTGCTGGACTTTAAAAGGTGAAAGCCATTAATCCAGCTCATATCCACAAACACACAGATAAGCAAGCTGGGTATGTTGGAGGCCAGGCTCCTGGATTCTGAAGTTAAGGAGTGGCTCACTACCAGGCCTCAAACACACAGCACAAGGATAAGGAAGCAGTTGCAATAGCTTTAGAGATAATTCCTCTGCCAAGGTCACACCTCGTGCCAGAGCTGTTTGCTGCAAGGACAAGCCCCAGCTCAGTAACAAGAAGCCTCCAAAAACTGGAGAAGTTCAAGACAACCGTGTGAGAAGCAAAACAAAGACCACGGTTTTTGCAAAGCTCTGAGATTCAAACCCCCCACGCACAACTGATTTAATCCACATAGCAACAGAGTCTTCCCCTCCCGTTAATCTTGGCCCAGGAGCAGAGCTGGAAACTGGAAATAGTTCAGGGTGAAAGGACACACGTGTATTTTCCTTTGCAGATTTCAGAGGAGCTGTTCCCCAACAAAACAACCTGCAAAGCAAAACCCAGTAACCTGCTACAACCACAGGCTGTCACTGCAGTTCAGCAGTTCCAGACTAAGTTCTGCTCAGCTTCTGGTCACTCCTGGGGCAGCATCACCTGCCCACAGACCCAGAGCCAGCAGTTCCTTGAACTTACTTCTCAACAAAGCAAAAAGAAACAAGACACATCCAGGAGATGATTCATTCTTTTCTAAAAATAAACCATGCCTCACTACCTACATCTCTAAGGGTAGCACTGAGCTCAGGCCTAAAGTAATTTGCAGGAATAAATGTGATAAAGTGAAACTGAAACACTTTGTTGTGGTTACTGCATTTCTGGAGGTGATTGGGACTAAAAGCAGCTCTGATGAAGTGGTGAACACAACGGCTGGGACACACCTGGAACAGAGCATGGGCCACTTCCCCTTGTGCTAAAAACAGTGAGCTGTAACAGCCCAGCAGCATGCAGCCCTGCTCTCACTCATCTCAACAGCAAAACCCCACAGACTGCAGAGGATAAAAAGTCCCTAATTTACATCAGCTTTTGGGAAATTCACGCTGCGCTCCGCGAGCAAAATCGCTCCATCCTGGCCAGCGGCTCTTCAGAAGAGAAGGCCAAAATATCAATTCTTGCTTATTTAACTGAGGCTACAAACACCGAGCCCGTGGGATTGGCTGCAGCACGATCCTCCCAGCTGCTATCGGGAACTTTCATGACGAGGTTAAAGCTTTACAGAGTGACAAAGGTTGGAAACACTCGCTGGGATCCACGAGCTGACAAAGCTCTCCTCCTCAGCACAGCTTCCCCTCTCGCTCACACTACTTCCAGCAAATGTGGATCAAAGATTCTCCTCCAATAACTCCTAAAAATTCTCTATTGAAGAAAATTCTCATTCTGGAACACGGCAAAGGATATTTTTCTTATTGTAATTACATCTAAATTACACTTATCCAGATTCAATTAAGCTGACAAAAATGCATGCGCTCAAAAGTTTTAAGGCGTTCAATTTTAATATTAATTCAAATTATTCTGCAACCAAAATCCTAACCCAGAGCTTGCGACAGATTTCCTGGAGTAGACAAACTCTCTGAAACAGAAACAAAGCAAAAAATCCAGAAGAGAATTTAACCAAACTTGTGAGGGGAGAAACTAACCCTTTTCCAGAAATGGAAACGTAAGCAGATGGAAAAAGCCCAAGGTCAGCAAAGCTCCGGGAGGCAGCTGAGAGAAGCCTTGTGCTGGCTGGGGCACAGGCAGGTAGGGACCCTGAGGGGCTCAGACCACCTTCTCTGAGGGGAGCTGATGCAGACTCAGAGGCTGGATGAGGAGAGGTTGGTGTCAAACCAACACACAGAGCTCCTTCAGAGCTGCTGGCAGGTTTCAGGTAACAGCTCAGTGCTCTGGTAACTCCCAACCCCACAGGAACATCCCTCCCACCAGGAGCTGCAGGGTTTTCCCTTGAGGAGCTCCTTCACCCCTTGGAAAAGCCAAGGCACAGCTGTGCTGTCTGAAGGTGGTAGCTGTGTCAGAGGGTGTGAACAGGGGCAGTGAGGGGTCACAAGAAGCCTCACGTGCTCAAGAGGGCCAACAACACTCAGTGCTTCCCACAATCCTGGATTTCTAACCAGGAGGCAGCACGGGCAGCATTTCACCCACCTGAAACACAAACTCCCATTTCCCCAAGAAATTACAAATATATGGAATTCAGAGCACATACCCATCTGAGTAGAGCCCAGCAGCCATTATCAATTCCATTTCTCTGGATGTATTTATTAATATTCCAATGCACCTAATTATTAACTGTTAACACAGATCTTGGCTTAGAGGGAGAAAAAAGGCCTGCCCCAAACATAAATGTATGAAACAGCACGAGCCTTATACAGCCCTTACACAGCCATCACTGCAGAGATTTGGAACTAAAGGATGTTGAAGGAAACCCAATTCCTCCTCACACACTGCAAAGGCCACACTTACATCTCAAGTAGATCTAAAACAAACACTGACAACTACATCAACTCAGCCAATCCCCCTGAAAAACCTCAGGACTTCCACCCATCCTGTGCCTAACCTTCAAAAAGTCCATACGGTCCTCAGGAACTCTAAATTAAATATTATTGAGGCTTCCAGAATGAAGATCACAGAAACTCCCAACACCATCAGAGAAAGATCAGAGTTAGGGAGTTAGTTGGTTTAGGACTCCCTAAAAATCTCGAAGTGCTGATGAGCTCCAGCTCCCATCCACACCAGCAGCAGCAGCCATGTGCTCCCTGACATGCTCCAGCTCCCATCCACATCTCCATCCCTGCATTCCAGAACCTGCCTCGTGCACCCGGGGCCTCTCGCCACGCTCAGCCAGGGATGAGGCAGCTGCTCGTGCCTCCCATCAGCCTCAGCAGTTCCTCTTCCAGCAGAACACTGCAACCCCTAATTCTCCAGACCTGTCACCGTGTTCAGGATAACTTTTAATCCTCCCCGCGAAGCCAAGGAACATTCAGCTCAGAAACTGAGGTGATTCACTTAAGAACTAGAACGCGTTTCCTAAACCGCTTTATTGAGAGGTTCCTAACCACGGAGCACATGTTGTGTTTGTGCGTGAGCCCACCAGCAGCATCTCACCCGTTACCCGAACAAAGCCCCGGGCAGAACCCCCGGGCTGAACCCTCCCCTCCCGTGCAGACACAGCCCAGCGCCCGCCCGGCGCCCTCCGTTACTCCCCCGGCCCCGGCAGCTCCTTGCTCCGTGCACGTTTTGGGACAAAACTCGGTGCAAAGTTTACGGCGGCCACCCGGGTTCGTTCAGCAAAGGCTAAAAGCGCTCGACCGAACCCGTGAATCGCCGTGAGCAGGTGAAGCCCCATCCCCGGCCGCAGCGGACACGGCGCCCGCCCTCCTCGGTGACCTCCAGGGCCGGGCCGGGCCGCGCTCCGCGTCCCGCCCGGACCCGGCGCGCCGGGGAACGGCAGAACCTCCCCCCCTCCCGCGCCACAAACCACCCCCAGTGTTTAATTAACGCAATTAACGAGGCGCCGCGCTCGGGGCCGGCCCCGCGGGGCCGCCCCGCGTGTCGAGGGGCCGGGCCGGGCCCGCTGCTGGGAGGCCTCGGGGAGGCCCCGCGTGTCCCGCGTCACCTTCACGGCCGGGCCGCGGCGGCACCCGAAGGTCACGGCGGCGCCTCCCCCGCCCCCTGCCCCGGCGGAACCTTCCAGAGCGCCCACCGACCCC